CTTGTTTTCTTTCCACTTTATTTACGATGACGCGAAGCGATCAACGAGACGTTAATGCGTCACAAGAACGCGACTCCAAACACTACTCCTCATTGGTTCCCTTGTTTTTTGTGGTCCAATCACGTTCCACGTTTCGTATTTGCGTGTTGTGTACTTCCCCACTTCTACCACCTGTGTAACTACGATTTTAGCATGTCACAGAAGCCGTTACTGGAGTAGAGCAGTCGTACGTATCTCTCCAGTAAGCTTAATCTTGAGTGTTTCGGCACTTTTTCGGTGTCGAACTGCAAGTTCACGCCATGTCTGGACACGGCCACGGCCACGGCGGCGGACACGGCCACGGTTGCTGTGAATGCGATCACGAGCCCGCAGAGCGAGGTGTGGAATATGAGCTGTACAGACGCATTGATATCGAGAAGCTTCAGTGTTTGAACGAGAGCCGAGACGGAGACGGTAAACTGGTCTTCAAGCCTTGGGATCAACGCACTGACAGGGCGAAGGTACCAATTAACCTGGCTTAGTTATGCAGGAGGTGTGACAGACGCTTCATTATCCTGTAGAATAGAGTCAAACCGCGAATTAAGGCACTTCTGTATTTACTTACATACTTAATTGCATATATGTATGTTTATTTTACTTTATATGAACTCTTCTAAGTAAAAGTCAACGGTTGTCTTTGAGAAATTAAATAAACTGATTTGAATAAACTCTGGTTAATAAACTCGGTTGTCAGATTGCTGTTCTGTTTGTTTTAATGTATGTCTCCTGTTTTATTTTCAGTTTGTCGAGAGCGATGCTGACGAGGAGCTTCTGTTCAATATACCGTAAGATTTGTTGCAAGCAGAATCCATTTCAGTTTCTTTTCTGTTCTTAATTATCGTCTATTAATATAATTTGTAAACAATTTGCCTAAATACTAAGTGGTTTACCGACAGAAATGGATACAGTTGGTGCATATGGTTAAATCTGCAGGTTTACAGGTAGCGTGAAGCTGAAAGGGATCATTATTTCTGGAGAAGATGATGAGTCACACCCAGCTGAAATAAGACTGTGAGTTTGCACTCACTGCAGAAAAAACGAGACTTGCAGTGTCACATATGGATGCAATGCAATATAAACTGTAATGCAGTTACATGAATGAATAAGTGTTGCTACTGGGAACAGGAATCTGCTTGCTGAGCTTGAGTATCCAAGCAGTTTGTTTTAATAATGATAACGGTGCAGCTGCTTTTTATCAGCTGTTTGATCAAAAACTCAGATATCACTCTCAGCTCTCAGATCAAAAACCCCCGAAACAAACTCACCTGCATCTTGGTTGGCCTGAGGGAGAGCTTCGTTTTTGGGTGAACTATGCTCTTGCATTTATTTAAATATTTGCATCCACAATGCATCCCAGCTAAAATGAGATTGTGAATTGGCTTTCACTGTATACTGTATATATAAAAAAACTAA